GTTCATTTTAAACTTTATTTGGAAATGTTAGAACTAGATATCTATTCAAACTCTAACAAAGAAGAAAACAATTGCTGATGAGTACTATGAGTATTTCTAAATAAACCAGTGTGGCTGTAGTCAGCAGACATGCAACCCAACAGGATAGAAGAGACCTGAAGTAGATACAGGGACAGATGGAAATCGAGTACATGATGGGGATTTGATCTCATATCCGCAAGGAAAGGTGGACTGCTTGACAATGCTCTTGGAACAACTGTTACATAATAAAATTACCTTTTAGATAATAGATCATGTATGAAAATAAATTCCAAATTGGTTTAAGGTTCTGAATATAAGAGAAAAAAAACAGACACAGAGAGCATGGAGCTATTCCTTTATAAACACCCCATGGATAATATTTTACGAATGAAAAATTCAGAAGCAATAAAATAGATCTTATTTAAATTGCAAAAATTCTTTTCATTTTAAAACTAGAGCTAAGAATTTCTGTAACTAAGATATGAAAGGCAAATTAATTTTAAAAAACATAGAAAACTAGAGATAAAGTTGACAGTCTTGACAGAAGATAGTTGTTTTTCAGAGGAAAAAAAAAGCAAAATGTTTCTTTGACAGGTGATGGTGTGTTCAACTGCCCTGCGTGAATGAATACCACCTCCTTCATCCCAAGGGCAGCATCAAGAAAGTGGGTAGTCTGGCTTCTCTAGTGTCATGTGATAATATGCCTGGGACTTCCTAGGCTGTGTGAGCTTCTTAAGCGTTATACTTCAGGTTTGTGTCATCCTTTGTAAGGACTCTTTTTTTCTCCTTTTATAAAGATCTAAAACATAGCCTTGGGTTTCTTATTCTCTAACCTGCTTATCAGATGGGCACAGATACAATTTTGGCAGCATCCTCTTTTGGCAGGACTGTAAAGAAAGCAGGCACTCATGTGTTGCTGGTAAAAGTACAAAACAGCACAGTCTAATGGAGAAAAATCTGGTAATGTTTTAAACAGCTACTGATATTCTTACCTTTTGACCTGGGTATTCTGTTTCTGATGATGTTGTATTTCCTAAGAGAGAACAAAGTTATTCGTTGTGGTGCTTTTGTCCATGTAAAAATGGTAACAAACCGGAAAAAAGATGGAAGCTGATAAAAAGTATTATTTATAAGGCGTGTGGGGAAGAAGGGGAGAGACTAGGGTAGGAGAGAGATTTCTTTTGACATGCTTTTCTAGAGCATTTTGAGTTTCAAAATATGACATTTTTCACATTTAAAAAATAAAGTTAAACCAAGGGAGGAAAGTGTAAAGTTTCTAAACTTAAAACAAACTGAAACAAAGGCAGCTAATGGTTATTAATCTAGAACTGTAATTGCACAGGGAATCGAACTTATTCTGTGTGAACATTTTAGCACAGTATTGACTCCAAACCCCAACAACTCCAACTAAGGATACAATCCTGTGATAAAATCCTAGCTTTATTTCAGACTATAATTTTCAACAATTTTGATTATGGCATAAAACATGTACATTACTTTGTTAATAATTTTGAAAACATGCTTTTTTTATTTTAATAGAAGAGATAGAGAAATAAAAGAACAAGGAAGAAAACCTATGATATTACATTTCAGCTGGAAATAGCAACATTAATTTATGAGTTTTTAAACATAAGAGGCTGTGATTGCTAAAAGACCACCCCAGAATAACATCTATTGCCCTATGCTGGTCCCATCAAGTCTGATCAGGAGAGCCCACTGTGAGCCTGGGATATCTGCTATCACAAAGTCACCAAGTGTTCAAATATCATTAAGTATTATGTTAGCAGATACTGGCTGGAAGGAACTCTCAATGACTAAACAGGAGATGATGCTTGTACACTTACTATATGGGGCTTTGAGAGTAGAGAGATTCTGCACAGACTAGGTAACATAGGTGTCATTTATTCTTCTGTTAGTCTTATTACATCAACCTCCAGTGAAACAATTCAAGAAATGATTTTATCCAAAATTTCTAGGTCAAGGCTGCCAAGGTATCACAACAGATAAATCCATTTGGTACCAAGCCTATCTACTTGCTTTTCCTCACTGGAACTTTGATGGTAGAGGAGAGAAGCTACTCCAGCAAGTGATTTTTCTCTGACCTCTATAGGAACATGGGCTCGCACTTACAAACTACTGCCCTCCTCATACACTTGCAAGCTGCACATGAACAATAAATAAGATAAATACATCTAAAATATTTAAAAGCACCTTATGGGTAATTGAAATTAAAACCAACACTGGAGTGCAGGATATTTCTAGCATCACAAAGTATTGCTTATCAATAATGGCTAGTTGCTCATGGAGAGGTGGGTATTATCACATATCTTAGTAATCAAAGTTAGCAACATAACAGTGAGAAACTGAATTAGCTGTTTTCTCATGTGATATTTGGGAGGCACACCTTGCCACTGATGTGTTTCTTCCAATCATCCTAAGCCAAAGTCTTCTTAAGCCTCAGACACAATACCATTTGTGTGTGGCAGGAACGGGCCGGGGGTGGGGGGTGGGGGTGGGGCAGAAACTAAAGATACAAGTTTAATGGCATCCAAGGAAGCTGTCCAGGAAATCCAGGAAAAATGCTGTAAGGCAACTGTATACTTTAAGGGTGTTCAGTGTGGCTGTTCTTTGGGTAGCTCACTTATCACTAGTCTCTAGAATTGGTCATTGTTCTATACTTTGAATTGCTGTGTTCCATGCTCCCACCACAAAGCCCTACTTCATAGGTCCCAAAGCAGCAGGTCTTCTGGAGCTGTGAGCCAAGCCTACCTTTCTTCCCCATAAGTTGTTGACTCAGACCTTCACCTGAAAGCTGATTAAATAGAGCTCTTGGTTTGGACTCTATATGGAGCCTCAGTTTCCTCAACTCTATCAGAAATGAGCCCTGGTCATGGGCATTACAAAGCCACAAGTCAAAAATAAAGCTTTATAAGAACAAAGGAAGGTAATCATCCACCAGAGGAGTAGTCCTTGAGTGCCTCAGAAAATAATGCAGCTGTTGGAACCCCAGTCATCTAGTTCTTTCTTCTTGCCACTTTGTTCTTTATTTTTACTCATTTTGCATGGTGACAGTCATCCCCACAGCTTCTGAGTTCAAAAATGACAGTTCATTTACACAGAGAGGCTGACCAATAGGCCCTCAATTCAAATTCTGCACATCCAGGGTAATCTGAATATGGCACACTAGGTCCCATAGTCTCATGTAGGGCAGTAAGCCCAAGTCAGGGTGTCAAGGTCTGTGTGGGAGATATAGATGCTAGGATGGATTGGGGTTGGTAGGAATGGGCTTTATTGTGTTGGAGACTTAACAGATTGTGAGATAATAGATAGTACTAGCTTATTCTGTGTGGACAGAATGCTTTCTAGAAGATATTCACTCCGTTTAAAATGTTTAATGTGTGGTGTGTTATAAATATGTGATGTGTGTATTAGCAAGTGTGCATGCATGTGTGCTTGTGGACGGGTGTGTTCATACATATGGAGGCCAGTGGTGGACCCTAGTTATCTTTCTTTGGCCACTAATCACTTTGATTTGGGATCAGGTCTGTCACTGAAATTGAAACCATGCTGGCTATTCAATGCGCTTCAGGTATCCGTCCATTTCACCAAGTACTGGAACTGCAGGAATCCTTTGACATGCCCATTTTTATGTAGATGCTGTGGATCCAAACCCAGGTCCTTATGCTTGTCTAACAAGCACTTTGACCACTGAACCATCTCTGTAGCCCAACGTTAGAACCTCCCCTTTTAAGCAGTATTTCATAAATGCACATTTTCTTTTCTTTCTACATTCACCCCCACCTTTAAATGCATGTCACCTTTTCATTCATTTCTCCCCTTATAAGCTGGTTCTTACTTTTCTGGAATAAGTGGGATGTACACACACATACACACACACACACACACACATATTGAGGTGATTCTATATCACCTCATAGAAACTTAAACTATAATGCTAATAGTGATACTTTTGAAAAGATAGATAACATTATTAATAATGCTTTATTTTGATAAAAATAATTTCAAACACAGACTTGGACTAGAGAGCCTACATCTTGCAAGAATGTGTTGTGTGAAGCCTGAGGCTCATCAAGCAAAGACCATTATCAGTCGCCCATTTTCCTCATGGTGCTGAGATCAAACCCATGTCAGGCAGGTGTTCTGCCAGTCCGTTATCTTCCCAGCCCATAGTGAGCAGTCTCCTTTCACTTAAGAAAAACAATCTCTAAGGTCTTGGCTTCACTTTGAAATGACGATGTACTCAGGGGCTTTACAAAGAATCAAAATCACTTAGCTTTAAGAGGTACAGCATAGTTTTCCTAGAGATTTCTGACACAGACATAGGTGTAAGGCTAAGGATTACTTCTTTCACTCTGCAGGTAGGGTATGTATGAGGTCACTAGAGGAGATAGAAAGCACGTAGGCAAGCTTGCTGTATAAGTCATTTACTCTAAAGGTTCCTTGGCCTTTGTTCTTGCTATCCGACACTCATCAGGCAACACACAGAGTGCCTTCTATCTCATTCATGAAGGTTATCTAGGCAGTAGATGCAGGTATTTTGTCTGTCTGTCTGAAGTGAGTTCTGACTTTCAGGATGTTTCTATAGTTCCTTGATTTAATGCAGCAAAGGTGAAGTTTTTTCTTTGTCCTACTACACAAATCACCATAACTCAGCAGTGAAACCAGTATCTTCCCCTCATTTCAGGGGCCTAAGCCTGAATTCTAGCATGCTCACAGATAAGAATTCACCTTGAGTAATCAGTTTAACTTCTAAATATTAATTTTTCCAAAATATTAATTTTTCCACAGTTGGGTGGTTTGGTGTGAATAAAGTTTATAAAGAACAAATGATTTGCAATTTTTTAAAAATAATTTATATGAAGCTTTATATCAAAGATCTTTGGGCTCTATGTTGATGAAAGACATGACTATTTTTAACATAAAAGTCCTTAACTATTTTCTTTGAATCCACATTTCAGATTATTTGAATATATTTTACTCTATAAAGATGGAGTGATGTTTCAGATTGAACAAGCCACCAAACAGTGTGCAAAGATCCCCTTGGCGGAACCCTGGGATCCTCTCGACATTCCCCAGAATTCTACCTTTGAAGATCAGTACTCCATCGGAGGGCCTCAGGAGCAGATCATGGTCCAGGAGTGGTCTGACAGGAGGACAGCCAGATCCTGTAAGGATGGGAAGGATTCCCACACTGCATCTCAGGGTGTATGCTGGGGAATGTACTCTTTAAATCTCTTACTGAATGTAGTTGTTGGGGAAAGTCACATGCTTAGATGAGGTTTTAAAGCCCATGTAAGTCCCTTGTGTACTTGGCAACTATGTGTTAACCATTTTCTTAGTGGATTGTTGAAACACCTCCCTCTTCTAGTGTCATATGCATGCCTCTGTCACTTTGGATCTAACAGGATCACCCTTTGCTATAGACTCTTCATGAAATCCGTGAGGTCTGTGACCTAAAGGAATTTTTTCCAATAATACTCCTGAATTAAGAGCCAACCTTTACTTTCCCACCTTTGCTTCCTAAAACTGCCTTGTCCAGACCTGCTCCATTATTCTAATTATTCTACATTATTCTAACACAAACAGGCCTGCTTTGATGCAAACCATTTTTTTTTAAATTCTGAGGTTGTTTTTATAGAGTAGGTATTCAGTCTATAAGAAACAATATGGCATTTAACCACAACCTTAAATGTAAAATTGCCATATGGTCCAGAGCATCCAACTCTGAATATATGCTCAAAAAATGATGGCGGACACTCAAACAGCTATTTGTACATCCTTATTTATATTGGTTTCATTCCTACAATCAAACTGTTGGGAACAACTCAGATACCGTCAGCAGATAAGTAGATAAACAAAATGTGATACTATGGTAGAGTAGTTTCCATCCTTTGAAAGGAAGAGAATTCTGGCATATGTAGTAATATGAGTAAGACTTGAGGCTATTATGTAAAGGGAAACAAGCCAATCATAAATGATAGATACTGTGTGCATGAAGTGCCCAAATCTATCAGAAAGTCAGTAGCATGACTGTTGCAAGGTATGGGAGGAGAGGAAGATAAGAAACCATTGAACAGATAAGAGTTTTCAGTTTGGGCAAGTTGTAAGGTAAGTGATGACGATTGTTAGAAACCAAAGTGAATGCCTCCATAATGAGTCCTTGAACAAAGTTAAGAAGTACATTTTATGTCAGCTGAACGATACCACAAAAATGTTCAGGAAGTTTGCCTCTCTGCTCTCTGAAAATGTCAAATGTTTTCTTCTTTAGATGAAACCTGGATTGGTGTTTATACAGCCAAGGATTGTTATCCGGTCCAGGAGACCTTCATCAGGAACTACACTGTGGTCCTGTCCACGAGGTTCTTTGATGTGAAGCTAGGAATTAAGGACCCCTCTGTGTTCACCCCACCGAGCACATGCCAGACAGCACAGCCAGAGAAGATGAATGAGGACTGCTCCTTGTGAACTTGCAGGAGCAGAAGCCATGACCTCAGCTCTTAGTGACCTTGGGTGGGAATGGATTAGAGACTAGTTTGAAAGCAACTCTTCACTGGAAATAAACTAATTTTAGGAAGATAAACTCTATGTGGACTTGCTTGTAATCTGACTGTGGCTGCTCAGCTGTATCTTTTGGAAAGAAACTGTTTGGAGCCATCCTTTCTGTGAACAGGTGTGTACTCAGTGCCACAGAGTAGGAAAGGGTGGGGGTAGCATCAGCACAAGGAGTTTGCTTCTGCAAGGTGAGACTTTTATTATTACCAATAAGAATCAAAGGTGATAATAAGATATAGAATAATTTTGTTCAGTTCTCTCCTTACAAAGAAAGTCCCTTGCTTGTCTGCACCAGGGTAGCAACAGTTCCCCCTGACACCACGAGGTCTCTGGCTACTATGAGATGACCCTTGAAGATTCTTTCCAGACTTGAATTTTGTGGCATGGCCCACTATATCTAGACATTCTGCAAGGAAGTAGAAACTTGTAATACAAAGTAATGATTCCTCTGAAGAGAAAAGAAGTTTTAAGTGGGAGGCTTGGACAATCTTAGTATTTATATGTGAGATGAAGTGAGAGCCGTGTGCTGCTTTGTGTACAAGAGTTACTGACCACTGTGCTGAACCTCCGTGTCTTTTCTAGTGGGCAAACAGGCTTCCAAAACAGCTCTGAACTGGGAGGCCACCAAGTAAGGCTTAGAATTCTCTGCTACTCTAATCCTTTAAGTATTAAATGCACTAGGCAAGTAGCCCTTGCCTTTCCTTTCCTGAATCTCTCTGTAACCACACAACTGTGTCTATATGCCGTCTGTTCATGCTTCCAACGCCAGCTCACATGTGACCTCTGTGAGCTTCTCCCATGCCTGAATTCACTGCACCTTACAGCTTGGCATGCCTTGCTCACAACACTCATTATTCTGTGTGAGGATTTCCTGATTATTAGAAACTGACCTCTGCTATCCTGGGTAAGAACCCCTTGAGTACGGGTACCATGTTCTGTTTACTTTAATATCTCCAGCATCAAGAAAGTGCCTGGCACGCAGTCCGTGCCCTTAACATTTGTAGAGAGGAGCGCTCCAGCTCTGTTAGTGTTTAGTTTCCTCATCTATTAGACAGGGTTGGTTTTTCTGGTTGCTATGGAGACTTGTAGTAATACAACTTACTATTCTAGATTCTTCTATTGCTGTGTTTCATTTGGCCATGTATCATCTTTTGTTATTAAGAGAAATGTGTGATGCTTGCTTTAGGCTATAGCAATCTACATTGTAATTTATCTATACAATTAAACAAATTTTATGACACCCTACAAATTGTTCTTTGATGTATTTGTTACTGTAATAAATACGGATGAACTGAATTATAAAGAAGATAAAATCCTTCTGTAATAAGTAAATAAAGTACTTCCCATAATCAAAACCAGATCGGTTATCTTCAGAGCATAGTATGTCTCATTTTCCATAAAGTTCAGTTTTCAGTTGCCTTGGATAGATGGAAGCTTCAAAGGCAGTATTGATGTGTTTTCTTGAGTAAGTTGTCACTACTAATCAGGATCCCAAGTAACATCATAGTGCAGTTCTTACAGCTACTGCTTCTATCCATCTTCTCAGCTAACAATAGGTCCAGGTTCATGGCATCCTTGGCTTTGGGAGCTATATTTACACCTACTACCTTTTCTCTGGTCTATTTTTAAGAAACCATCCAGTTCTCATTTACCTGTAATGTGTGTGTGTATATATATATATATATATATATATATATATATATATATATATACTAGCATCAAGCTGCTGTCCCCTACAGTAGCTAAGCTGATTCCTGAAATCACAAAGAAGAGTGAAGGCCAACCAAAGACCAAGAAGAATGTCACAGCCACAGTTCAAGAATTCCAGCCTATAAAGAAATTGTGGCAGTGCTTGCCTTTTTCTATATCCCCACCTACAGAATGGCCTTTGTCCAGTCCAAACCATATATCTGCTCAGCCCCATGACTCTGGGCACATCCATGTCCATATCCACAATCAAAGCAGAAAGTACAATGTATCTTATTCATGGACACAAAAAGTGAGTGTGTCTTCTTTTTTCATTTGACCCATTCTAGTAATTAAACCCTATCACAGAAAGTAATAAAAAAGCCCAGAGAAAGTTTTATATCTGATGAGGAACTCATCATGGATCTTATGGCCCTCAGGTACTGTGTTTCTCCACCACCTAAACAGCCAACAGAGCCCCTCAGCACAACAAACAGGCCTTTTGCACCAGGCTGGTGGCTCTTCATTATCTTCTTTGAGAGATAGTGCCTGAGTTACATCTAAGTATCAGGAGGGTTTCTTTAGTCAGCAGGTCATAGAAATATGCTAGTGATCACCCCTCAAAGTGAAGAGGGATATCAAATAGGTTCAGGACTACAGCTAATAAAAGGACTAGGCAGTACACTTGGCATTTGGAGGAATATTCACACCTGCTACCCTTTCTTTGATCTATTTTTTAGAAACCATCTTAGAATGGGGAAAACACTCACTTTCTGCATCCATGAGTAAGGCAGAAAATTTCTTTCCTACTTTGAATAGTGATATAGTTTGAGATGTGGCCAGGGTCACAAGTGGAGTGGAATTTTGTGGTTTGGAATGGACAAAGATTGTTCTATTCCTGAAATATGGCATTGGTCCCTGAAGTTTCTGCCTCCTTATTCTACACTGGAACAGTTTACTTCTTTCAAGGCAAGATTGCAGCCTTTACATTGCTGTGAATGTTTCATGTATCAGCAAGTGTACCTGGGAGTGCTCAGCATCAGTTCTGTGTGGTCAAAGAAGGTCCCAACCTAACATAGAACCATTGCCTGCTTTCTGCACTGGTATATGGGCACTAAGGTACCCATCTGGAACTTCTGGTTTCAATTAAATCCTTATGAAGACAACTTTCTCATCAGAAGCTTTGGCACTTACAACTTAAAATCATAATGTGGGACACACCTACAAAGTTATCCAAATATTTAAAGAAGGCCACAAATTGCATCGCTAATGAAATGTACTACAAAGCACATGCAGTTTCCTACAACTTTAAGTTCACATCACCCAACCGCTCCAGTTTAACTCTTGCTGGATTCTTCTACCACCTCTACCTATAGCTTTCCCATGAATCTTTTCATGCACCGGGCTTGTGTATTGCCCACACAACCTGTGGTGTTTTTCACTTCTCCAGATGTATAGATCTAACCTTCCTCCATCTACAGAAGTACCTCAAATGTAGGAACAATGCATCTGTCATTCATGTGTAGTCAAAATAATTCCACAATTTCAGTTGGATGAGAGAATGAGTCTATCCAGCCAAAGATCTGTGTGTGATTTAAAAATGTGACTTTAGCCCCAAAACCTAGAGGAGGCTAGACTCCCAGGAGCTCTAACATGCCCAGGAGTGCAGGATGCTGAAGGAACATGGTGGCTGCCAGAGCAATGTGTGAGACATGCTGATGCCGGTACAAAGAATGATGCTGACCTGTGAGCTTGCTGAGTGCCCTGACAATGGTGACTGGGAAGCTGTATTGGACACATGTTCCTGACCCACCATTGCTTACCTATACCCCTAATGGGACAAACCACTTTGCCTCGGATTTTTAGACCTTGTGGAACAGAGAATCAAAAAGAGAAGTTATAATGACTCTTGTATTGTTCTTAAATGTGACCAGTTATTCAGACTCAATCATGTACTAGCCTAGAAATCAATCTAATATTGGAAATAACAGTCTCTATTTGGAAGTCTGGTTCTGGGCATTTTCAGAGACATATTAGGAAGTTAGCTACAGTTCTCTATGATGTTATGTTAGCAAGAGATAAAGTTGGGGCAGGATCTGGATTTCAAACAGGTGTTAGCACATGTGTTAAGGCTCTTTTAATTGTCAAGTTAAAATTACTTTTGTTTCTTCTACAGTATTTAATGTAAGTTAGATTGATTGTACACCTTCTAAGTGTATTAGTGTTTTGAAATTTGGCATGTCAGTTGGGGAAGTCTATCAACCAGCTTTTGATTCATTGCCCTGAATACCACAGAACTTTGGTATTCTAAAGATAGCTTTCAAGTACTGGAAGAAATGAGTCAGCCTTTAAGCAGAAGCAAGAGGGTAGTGGGCTTGATTATTGATGGTATAACAGCTTTAATTTCATTATTTCCTAGCACCACTGATTCTTCGATTGCTTTGATACAAGAAGTTAAGATAGCTACTTTTGTTAATCATTTAGCAAAAAATGTTACTAATGTGTTGAATATACAAGAGGATTTAGATAGGCATTTGGAAGAATGGATTGATGTTCTTTATCCTATTCAAATTATTAGAAGGAGGTTCAGAATTTAAGAGTAAGAAGCCATCTGGAGTGTCATGCCAAATACCACTGGATTCATGTTAGTTCTAAAATTTACAGTGGTAGTCATTATAATTAGGAAAAAGTTTAAAGATACCTGCAACATATTTGGCATAATTCTAAAACAACTCTCTGGATGTTTTAACTTTATGTAGTGAGCTTCTGAACTTCAAGAATGCTTTTCTGCTGAGTGCTGATGTGGTAGATACTGCTGATAAAATTACCCATGGCCTGAGATCAGTATTTCTATTTTGGTCAAGCTTCAAAAATGACATATATAGCTTGATCATGCTAGCCTTTTTTGTCCTGGGAATACTTTTATTCCTGCTCATTGTGTTTAAGCTTTAACAACATCAACATGATGGCAGCCAAAGTATATGGCTTGAACCTGAAAATGGACCCCCAGACAGAGTTATTAAATTAACAAGCTGGCAAGCCAAGGACTTGTAAGATTCTGCACAGAGCCTTATCAACCTAAGACAGGAGTGCATTGCTTTTGATAATGCATATTTCATGATGGGTAAGGAAAACATTCTTTTTTTTTTTACTTTTTTTCTAAAATTTTTATTAGATATTTTTTATTTACATTTCAAATGTTATCCCCTTTCCTGGCTGTCCCCCCCCCAAATCTGGGTTTCTCACATCCCGGAAACCCCCCATTCCATCTCCCCTCCCCCTGCTTCTATGAGGGTATTCCCCCATCTACTCAACCACTCCCGCCTCTCTGCTCTGGCATTCCCCTACACTGGGGCATTGAGCTTTCACAAGACCAAGGGCCTCTCTTCCCATTGATGTCCAACAAGTCCATCTGTGATATATGCTGCTGGAGCCATGGGTCCCTCCATGTGTATCTTTGGTTGGTCATTTAGTCCCTGGGAGCTCTGGAGGGTTTTTTTTTTTATTATGTTTAATTTTTTTAACAATTCGGTTGTTATCCCTCCTCCCGTTCTTTCTTCTGACAATTTCTCATCCCATTCCTCCTCTCCAGTCTCCAAGAGAATTTCTCCTCAGCTCCACTAACCCCTAACACTCCACCAGAATTCCTCAAGTCTCTCAAGGGTTAGGTGCAACTTTGCACATTGAGCCCAGACCCGGCAGTCCTTTGCTGTATATGTGGTCAGGGGCCTCAGACCAGCTAGTGTATGCTGGCTGGTTGGTGGCTCAATGTCTGAGATATCTTGAGGGTTGTGGAGACTGCTGTGCTTCTTTTTTTATATAATTTTTTTATTGGATATTTTATTTACATTTCATATGTTGTCCCCTTACCCCATCCCCCACCCACCCAGGA